CGATAAATTTTGGGACTAGAAGCAATGAGAGAGAATACTTAGCTCACCTCAATCCCTTTGAGGTCAACCACAAAAAGTATGAAATCCTTATCTGCAAAAATGGTTCCATACTCTGCCCCTGCCTACATTTCTACTATTATCTTCTGCTACTTCCCACAAAAATGCCTTATTCAGCTATGCAGAAACTCACCATTTCTTAATTTGCTAAGTCTTTTCGTAACCCAGTATCTCTGAACATATATTTCTTTGTTCTGAAATTCACCAGGACCCATGCACACTTAGCAAACTCCTATTCATCATCTATCACGCTAATTCTAAGCAGAAAAAGAACTGCAAAGAAATCTGTGAACTTTATTTTAATAGGTAGTTAGTTGTTGTGTTACTGGTATAGTAATTATTTTTTGTGTATTGTAGAATACAGCATATGAATAAATAAATATGACTGGTGTTGGGAACCAGAATTTTATTGTGGGAGTTACAAATATGGACTAAAATTAGATGAGGAAGAACCCTGTAGTGCTGAATTTGAACTGAAGGTATGGCATGAATTCATTTTAAAAAAAAGGTACTCCCTGGTTCTGGCAGGTGAAAGGGTCAATCTGCAATGGTAGACAATAGCAATGAGTGCATCTATACCCAAACTTTGATTTTTAGATTCCATTCTTCACTGAAAAAGCAATGTTAGAGCTCTTGGGGGGGGGGGGGGGTTTGATTATACATCTAGCGCAAGAAAAGTGCAAGGTAAGCCTGGGCATCATGTTATGTTTAAGTTAAGGAAGTGTTCAAAGACTGAAAGAGTCATGTCAAAAGACATAGGAGCCAGTCAGTGATCAAATCTTCGAGACAATTTTAGCAGCTAAAGGAATACTGATGTAATTATTTACATATAGATTTTAAAAGAATGCCAGGTAACAAATATAGGAGAAATATTAGAATTTTTTTAAAGAGTTACTCGTTTTGGTGGCCCCTAATATAATAAGTGATACAGGTAAGAATAATTAAGGAATGCTAAGAACAGTGGGTGAAAGGTTATTGAGGTATTCATAGGATCCCAAAATATCCTACAGATCAGGTGCTAATTATGAACAGAAAAAATTAACCTCTACTATGGTGTGATCTGGCTATCACCACCTTAAGCAAGTGATAACATTTAGCAACATCACCAATGAAGGGATAACCTGGTATTATATGCCTCATGGTGTGATATAATGTTAATTTTACACCATGTCTCCTATGGAGTATTTCTGCTAAAACTATTTATGTTTAAGAAACAAACAAAAGCCCTGGCCGGTTTGGCTCAGCAGTTAGAGCGTTGACCTGCGGTCCAGAGAGACCCGGGTTCAGTTCCTGCTAAGGGCACGTGCCCCGGTTGCAGTTTGTCCCCGGCCCTGGTTGGTCATGCGGGTGGCAGCTACTTGATGTGTCCCTTTCACGTTGATATTTCTCTCTCTCTCTTTCTCTCCCTCCCACTCTATCTGAACAAAAAAATGGAAAAAAGTGTCCTCGGATGAGGATTAAAAAAAGAAACAGGTGGGCATATTGTTCTAGATAAGAGATATATATTAATCACATTATCTTGATTGGATCCCGGATAATTAAAGTAAAACAAATACTATAAAACACACTTTGGGGACAACTAGAGAAATTTAAATACAGGCTATATATTAGATATTATTAAATTACTATTGATATTCTGAGGTGTGATAATGGTACGATAGGTACAAAGAAAAATGTCTTTCTCAAGAGATACATGGGAAAATATTTAGGAGTGAAATGTTAAGATATCTGCACTTACTTGCAAATGGTTTTGCAAATATAGAGTACATATGGCAAGATGATAACTGGTATATATAGATGAAGTATATGAATATTCATTGTACTATAATCTGCATGTTTAAAATTTTCAAAAGAAAAACTCGGAGGGTGTGAACGGGGGGAATTTCAGTTCAGATGTCACATCTTCTCTGAAGGTTTTTTTGACTTTTCTAGTGGAATTATTTTTTCTGTTTTCAGTATTCCCACAAGACTATTTCTATTTTAGCACTTAACAAATTTGTTAACTGCCTGTTTTACAGGTCTGACTTTGTAGGACTTGTCTTATATTCATTCCCATAAGTTAGCTCTTTAACTGGTACCTACTAGGTAATTGTTTGTTGTATAAATGAGATCACTGATATGCCAAAGTGACCGGTCAAAAACTGAAACCCTAGTATTCTCTATATCACATTTTGCCTAGAATTTAATCAAATCCATCAAGCAGAAAGTCTATTACGTTTCTATGTGATCTGTACCATTATAATAGATACCCATATCAGCATTCAAATTGATTTAAAAGCAATGCATTAACAACCCTAAAGCAGCCTCACACCTAAATCATTACAGGCATATTTTCATTTTAAATTATTTTAGTTTCAACACAAGAAAATTAAAGATGCATACCTGTTCTACATCCTTGGAATTGGAGGTCTGGTTTTCTCCCATGACTCCAGGCTGCTCATTTTCCCATGGTAATTTATTTTTTCCTTTTCCTGCACTTAATACCCTTCGGGTACAGATAGTTGGACTGTAAGATCCATAAATTTGCATGCTATCCCTTGTGTGATCACCACAGTGACAGTATGCACTCTGAGTCAAAAGCCAGTCTGTATCTGCTTCCTGTGCCAAATGGCTTGACCTACACTGGGCAGATGATGGCATGAGTATCGCATACTCCACAAATCCCTGTTCCGTTAACCTTGGGAGAGTTTTCCTAGCCAATCTGGCCTGTACAGCATTCATCACTCCATCTCCATTATCTTGTAGTTCAACAGTATCCACAGCTTTAAAAAGGATGCTGGTTTTACCTGAGCCCATAGATGATGCCAGCACAGCAAAGGCTTCAAGAGCTGCTTGGCGAACCCTGCGTTTGCTGTCTACAAGAGCTGGGGCAAGATCAAAAGACAATTTGGGTAAGTCAAAATCCTCACTGGGATAAGTCAAGAGAGAGCAAATGCAAATGTTCACCACCTCCTCTCTCACTCTGGAATGCTTATGTTTGAGATGTTCCAGGAGTAAACAAAGCACCTGTTGAGGACCTACCTCCTTCAATAGCTTGAGGAAGATTTTCATGTATTCTTGTTTGATCACCAACTTGTTGTCTGCCAGCACTTTGACAGAAGCTGCTATAATTGGTCCTAAGAAATGTTGTACTTGCTCTCCAAGGCGAATAACCAGTAAATGGAGAACCTGAAGTGTGCCATAGACCACTCGGAAGTTAGAGTCGTCTAACAAATTATACAGCAAGCTAATAAAACTGACAAGACTAGAATGAGGGGTAGAACTAGGGTTAAATCGTCCCATCACCTGTTTTAGTTCCTCAACCGCCTGAGTCCGGTTCTTATAGTCTTCCTGATCTAACAGTCTTGAATGCAGCTCCTGGGGAATAATCCCAAATTTAAGATTGCTGTTAGAAACGGTCACTGCACAGGGAAGGGTATTTTCAGGAAATCCAGAGGCTTCAAGTTCCAAATAATAAGGAACTTGACTGCCAAACTGGGACTCCAGGCGGCGATTGTAGTGTCTCCTCAGGGCAGACGGCAGGCGAGAGATATAGGACTGAAACTTCTCATGGCCAAGTCGCTCCCCAATTTGTTGAAGTGCAGAGAAAGCTGTCTCAGATTCTTCTGTCTCCTGATCGCCAAGCTTTCGGGCTAAGGATATTATCACCTCGGTAAGATCTAGACTGAGCAACAAATCCTCAGGAGTAAGCAAGATAGGGAACAGTAGTGCTGTAGAAGCTCTAAGCCGAGCATCCGCACTTTCCAGTCCTTGCTGTATAAGCGTCCTCAGCACCTGTCCAGAACTACGTTTCAGACATATGTGTAGGATTTGCAGCGCATCTTTCCGCAGAGCTGGATTCTCTTCTCGTAAAGAGACAACTAGTTGAGGCAGAAGTGCTAAGCTAAAGGCCTCTTCCAGCTGGCCTGCCTCCCCCTGAACCCGAAGAATGTCCGACAGGAGCTGCAAGCAGAGTCGCTTCTCATCACCACCTCCTTCCACAAGCACTCGGCCCAGGGCTCGATATAAAGCTTCCTTCCGTCTGGGGAAGCCAAGTCGACTGCCCCGCCGCGGCAAAACTGCCTGCAAAGCCTGGAAGGCCTCGGAAGGATCCGGCGCGGTCCGGAGTTGTTGAAGGAGCCGAGTCTCCTCTTCATCTCCCCCTGACAAACCACCTCCAGACCCAGACCAGCTACTGGAGATCGCCTCCGCAGGCATCAAGAGGGTCGAGGCCAGCGGCGAAGGTGTCGGGGGGCAGGAACCGTGGTCTCCTGCAGCTCCGCGGCAGCAGTTTTTCTCGCCTCTCATGGTGCCCCTACCTCGACTTTCATCAGTTTCTGGGGCGGAAGGACGACTGCGGCTCTGGGGGCGATAGGAGCATTTGGCTGGAAGGGGAAGCAGCAGGAGCAGCGCGGAGGGTCGTTAGGTGGCGGAGGCTGGAGGAAACCATCGTCTCGGAAGGGCTTGACGGAGCCCAGTCTTCTTGCCCCTCTCTAAGCCCCCAACCGCACAAGCAGAAAAGAAACTGCTTCAGTCAGCTGCCAGGCCATCCCTAACTCCGGAAGCCTTCGGCAAAATGGCCCCCGCCAAAGCCCCAGACCCCACAGCTACCACCGGGCGTAACCAGGGGCGCCACGTGACCAAACCGATCGCTTCCATGGTGATCTATGTAGCGCGGACCTCTTGACCCGGAAATCAACCTGCCGCGGTCAGTGCTGGGTCAAGTAGTCCACGTTTGGTGTTAAGCCTAGGCAGACGTCTCCTGGAAAAGGAAGTGAGAACGTTGCGAATTTAGAGAATGTATCCAGAGCCGAGCCGTAGAGGAAAGTGGGTGCGTGTGTGTGGGGGCAGAGGGGGTGGCCACGGACGGGGGTGGGGGAGGAGGCCTTGGGCGGAAGTGACGGTCTCCACGTTCAGAACGGAAGTTCGCTGCCCCACCCGTAAGAATCGAGGTTTGACTAGAGGCGAGCGAGGATCCTGCCCGGGCTCCAGTTGTCCACGGCTCCTCCTCCTGTCGTTGCCGGCGCGATTCCTGGGACTCAGGTATTTTTCTTTGGCTGTCCACCTGCGGCGCAGGCATTGGCTGAGTTTTGCCGGAGTGCCGTTGGTGCTGGAGAGAGGTAAAGGAATAAACGGGAGAAAGCCGTGAGAGAGGAGACATCTTTTTGTGCAGGACTAGTTAGCGTTGTAAACGCGATGCTCTCTGCAACCTTGAGGACTGCGAGCCTTTCCCCTTGCCGTCCGCTTGATACTGGGGCAGAAGAATCGGATCAAGGCCAAGCTCAGAGCTTGCGTACTTTTTTCAAATCTTGGTCTTTTAGGCCCTTACTCTCCCGCCTTCTCCCCGACTCGCGTTTCCCTACTTGCTTACCCTCCGGCCTTGGAGGGTTCAAGGTTTTTGTCATTTTTCCTTACCATCATCACTTTAAGTTCTCTTTGAAAACATACTTAATCTGCATATAAGTCTATTTTTCCCTAAAGCCAACCGCCCCTCCCTTATACGTTCTCAGTCTTCTAATGCAGTTCCTCTGTGGGACTTAACCGCTCCACCCCTCCCTCTGCCTCTGCCTCCCCAGCCTCGCTCCTGGAGCCTCTTGCGTCTCTGCAGCCTTTCACCTGGAAACGGAGATTGCAAAGAAAATTTCAGTTGGGATAGAAGTTCTGGGCATCACGGTCCTAAGAGAGTTCTGCCCTGTATATTTAAGGCTGATACTAGACGTTTCTTTGTTTTAGGTTAACTATGAATTTGATAAGCATTTTCTCCTTCTTAATGAAACTTAACTGGACACAATGGAAGAGATGGAGTGTCTGGTGTAAGGCTGAGTTCTTTAAAGTGTGGAAGAGAATTTTTTGTTTTTAAAGGAATGACACAATTACTTTTGAATGACCTAGTGAGAAACGTCTTAAATTTTTATTTGAAATCTCCAGTTTATGCACTTCAAATACAAATTCACCTACCCTGCGTCACATGGGATGTACTAAATATATTTTTAAGCCTTAGAATAATTGAGTCACATATACCAAACCACTTTATAAATAATGTTGATGAATAATTTCTGGCCAGGCTGATATGGCTCAGTGGTTGAGCATTGGCCCATGCACCAAGAGGTGGCCACTGAGATTCCTGGTCAGGGCACATGCCCAGGTTGTGGGCCCAATCCCCAGTAGGGGGCATGGGGGAGGTGGCCAATCTATGTTCTCTCTCATCAATGTTTCTATGTCTCTCCCTCTCTCTTCCTCTCTAAAATCAATAAATAAAAAAATAAAAGTAAATAATTCCTGATGTCTTGAAGCACAATTTGAATATCATCCGTTTCTTTTTTTCTTTGGGGACTAGAGTAAATGTAAATGAGACTTGTTTAAAACATGCGGCTTTGTTTTGGTTTTAAGTTTTAGGTTTTTCCTTTCAAATTACTCATTTTGATGGTTAAATTTTGTTTGGCAGACCAAATTTTGTTTCAGCAGACCAAAGAAAAACCACTCTTTTTTTTCTTGTAGGAATAGGGTAAGGGCAGAGAGAGAAAACCAAGAGATGATTGTAGCAGTTGTCAATAAGATAGAATGATTCTCATATTTCCAGTGCGTACTTTTACTTGTGTATTTTCAGACTTCAGGAACTCAAGTCAAACTAATCTAAGTAAGAGAATGATTTAACACATTAGAATGTCAGTTTATGTTGGAATAGAAGATTACCCTTTCCAGTGATTAGAATTTTCAGGTTGAAAATCTTAGGCACTCTTTCCTGTATTTGAGAACTTGGGAATAGTAAGTAGAGGTTGTGTGGTAATCATGGAATTAATGGAAAGGAACCTGGAAAGTCTTGAATGGTATGCATCATCAAAGTTATGGTAAAAGCATAAGAATTATCCCTTATCTCTAGAGAATTCTTCTCAAGGGGCTTAGTTATATAAATCAACCAGTTATCATGTCTTTTTCTTTGGAACAAAGCAAGATGAGTCTTCATTTTGACTACTTTTCTCGGGGCCTCGTAGATAAAATTACTGTATTATAGATTGCAATTTATTTTATATGTGTTACATTTAATTTCCTTGATGAAAACTTGGAAGATGCATTAGTCTCCATGGTGAATATATAGGAAATGGGATCTTAACAGCATCACATATCTTACTAATTATCTTTTAGGGTTATTCTGGGCAAGATAAATCTCATCCATTTAATGTGTATTGTTTATTTTTATTACAGATTTTTTAAAAAATCTTTTTTTGAATTCTGGAAATCCAGGGAATTGTAGGAATTGTGTATGGACTAGAAAAGCCTTTTATATTGAACCATAGATAGAGGTAGGATTAAATAATTAATTAAATTCCAGAATAGGGATACACTACACTGTTAGGTGTATTAACAGTACACCTCTGAAAGTTGAAAGGAGATAATTAAATATACATTGAAAATAGTAAATTTAGGTAAAACAAGTTAAAAATATCGATAATTTCAAAGAAGTTTAATTGAAATAAGGGATTACAGGAGTGTTTGTGATATATATCTTAATTTTGAGCTGAATTTAAGCAAGTTAAACACAGTTGCCTAAAAACATCCTTTATTTCCTTCATCAGTGATAAGATATTAATTGGTTGGATGAACCATTAGTTTTTTCTGTGTTCTTACTCAAATTTTACAGACATTCAGGAATACTGAAAATCATGTGAGTTCTGTAAACTATAAAGACTTTTGTATGGGGTAAGAAGTTATTGTGAAGAAATACTATGCAATGAAAGATGCTATTAATAGGTAATTATAATACTAACATTTATTGAATGTTTGCTATGTGCTAGAGACTTAATGAATTTTTAATTCATTTAATCACACATTTTTGAGATTACATTTTCTACGTTTTTATGAATGTTTCCATTGGAAACTAATTGGACAGAGAAAGAAAGTAAAAGTAAAATTAGTCAATTTAGCTACTTGCTTGGAGCTTAGGAAAAGTTTTGGTGGGGAAAAGTGTTGAAACTATAGGATAAAATTAGATTTTTTCCATTATTGATTATTCATATCTTTTATTACATATTATATATTTTTTAAATATTTTTGAGTTTCTGTTCTGAACCTTTTCTGTTCTCAAGTCAAAATTTTAAAAGGTTAAGATATTATTAGATTATTTTTACACATGTGGGATTAAATAGGTGTTATTGATGTAAATCAGTGATATATTTTAAATTACTTAGGTTTATGTTCCAAAGCCATTGTGCATCTGAGTCAAAACTACAATTTAACACAGAAATCCAATTTTTGTTGCATTTTAAGTACCAATCAGTAAAAGTTAACAGGATTTCACATCCATTACAACCAGTTTTTCAGTGGATTGTTTAATTGTGTAACTTTTAGTTTTTAGTAATGGCTTTGGGGACTTGCTTTTTTCTGTGTTATTCCTGAGTCTGTGATCTTATGATTTGTATTATTACAGAATCTAATTTTACTTTTGTTTCTCCAGCTATAATGAAAGTCAATCTTAGAGAAAAGGAAAATATGTCAATTTCTGCTATAGGCTCACTGATAAAATTGTATGTCATCATTAGTTGAAATCTTCTGGGAGGAAAGTGGAACTGTGGGAAAGAAATTTAAGAAAGTAGCTGATACGACAACATAGTCTCTTAATTTCTTCATAAATTACACTTTTACAGAAAAGTACATATGTGTTTGGATTTTTTGTTTTTAAACGATACGCAGATAATTGCCTCCCAGCTGATTTCAGCACCACTGTCAGCACCACTGTTGTAGCTTAGGTGTCAATTGAGCAGTTACTAAACACACAGCTTGACCTTTATTAGCTTTGTTTCAGAACCTAAAATAGTGAAGCTTCCTTGAACTCTGGAAAGCTTAATTTTATCTAACATTGTCTATGTTGCGGGTATTTATGTAATAAGAATGGGATTAGAAGTGAAGTACAATACTCTCTTACCTTTTTAAAAACTTCAAATGGCCCTGGCCAGTTTGGCTCAGCGGTTGAGCGTGGGCCTGCGGACCAGAGAGTCCCTGGTTCAGTTCCTGTTAGGGGCATGTACCATAAACAAACAAACAAACAAAAAATTAAAAACTTCAAATGGGTGCTATTTATTCAATATCAACTAATCTAGTTATCTGGATTTAGAGTATTCCTTAATGTTTGTTTTATAATACCAAAATTAAAGACAAAATAAATATGGCAGGGATGTGGGGAAGAAGAATCAATCCTTCTGTGATATAAATAACAAAAGAAAATGAACGTTCCGTGATCCCTCTTTATTTCCTTTTTAACTCCTTAAGTATTTTTGTATCTGAGCTACATAGTATTTGTTTGTGTGTGTGTGAGAGAGAGATCTATCCTTTTTGGATTTCTACTTTGCACCTTTTCTAGTTTCTTGTTTAAATTAAAATTTTAAGATTAAGAACTTATGAGCTCATAAATGAGGCATTATAGTATTTAAGAACTTTGGAGACAGAGTGCCAAGGTTTAAATCTTCCCTTGGTTTTAATTTCTTTGTGCCTAAGGTTTCTTCATCTGTAAAATGGAAATAATACTAACAGTGAGGATGAAAGGAGTTAATACATGTAAAAAGCTTAGTACGTTATGACAAACAGAGGCATTCTAGATTCCGTTTATAGAATAATTTAGTTGTGTCAAGAGTGGCAACAATTATAAATAGATTCAGTAAATATTTTAAGCAGGTCAACTTTGTTCAGCATTATTATTTATTTATATGAGTGGAAGGAAAGGAGGGAGGGAGAGAGAGAGAGAGAGAGAGAGAAACATCGATGTGAGAGAGGCACATCGATTGGCTGGGGATCAAACCTGCAACTCAGGTATGTGCCCTTGACTGGGAATCGAACCTGTGATCCTTTGATCCAAGGGCCACTGCTCTTACCGCTGAGCCAAACTGGCCAGGGTAGCATTATATTTTTTTTGATATAATGTGTAGAGAACATTGTTCTAACATTAAAAAATAGTTATAGTCCCAGTAATGTCTCTTAATTGTGTGATCTTATTGATTCATTTAAGCTTTCTGAACTTCAGATTCTTAATCTGAAAAATATAAGAGAATATAACCCTGGTAAATCTTATGCCTAGTTTAGTGCCATATACATATATATATATATATATATATTTTTTTTTCAATGTAAA